AATATGCATGTACCTTGCAGTTTAAAAATTGTTAGTTGGTTGATCAACTGAGACAGCACATATCTCTGGGAATTTAAACTTTGAATGTGCACTTTTGCTCTGTCAACAAGTGTCGATTTCAGTGCAGAAAGCCCTATGCCGTTAGTAATAATGAAGGCTTGTTCAGACTAAGTCTAAATAAATAGAGATGATAAGTTTTCAAAAGCAAACAGTACATCTCTATAAACTCCTTTGTACCAAGCTCTGAACATAGCAGATGGATAATTTGTTATACTTTTATCATTGTTATTATTATTAGTGTCAGAATTTGTTTATGGTTCCGATGGAGAAAATAAACTCTCAGTAGAATAAGATATTAGCTTTTAGGTCATGTGTCAGGAACTGACCTATAAGTGAACGGCAGAGTAAGATTTGATTTTGATAACAGAAGCTTGCAGTATTTGCAGAGCTACATAGATGCTCACAGAATAACAAATATATATATTTTATTTTCAACTTTCATCATTGGACTTGATGTGTATAGTTTTGGTGCAAAGAGTTGTTATACTTTCATGTCTTATAATCACATGAAAGGGATACTCCACCCAAATATGAAAATTCTCTTATCATTTACTCACCCTCATGCTGTCTCAGATTATATTGCTTTTTGTTCCCAAAGTTGATGCTTCAAAAACCACACAAAGTGAACATGATGGTAATCCATACGGCCCAGTTATTGAATCAATGTCTGAAGTGAAACAATAGGTGTAAGAAAAGTATTATTATTTGTAACTTTTTTTTTTTTTTTTTTACTATAACTTTAACTTGCATGTATATTTCTTGGTCTCACAGGCATATTCTCTTGTGGATCGTGAAGTTGGTTATTGTCAGGGCAGTGCCTTCATCGTAGGATTGCTACTTATGCAGGTTTGCTTTTGTGTTTTGCTTATCATTATGAACTAAAGTAATGTAAAGAAATGTCTGTGAGCCAAACTTTGCATTAACCAAATGCATCATTCATTGTGTGTTTGTAGATGCCGGAGGAGGAGGCTTTCTGTGTGTTTGTCAGACTAATGCAGGAGTACAGGCTCAGAGAGTTGTTTAAACCCAGCATGGCTGAACTGGGTCTGTGCATCTACCAGTTTGAACACTTGCTCCAGGTAAGAAAAAATATTTTATAGAATCTAGACTAATATAACTGTACATATAATCTTGAGAGAGCGTTCAAGGAAAAAGAAAAATAGCAGACTGCTTGTTCTTGTTGTTGAGGCATTACTCCAGTCTTCAGTGTCACATGATCCTTAAAAAAAATCATTCTAATATGCTGTTTTGGTGCTCAAGAAATATTTCTTGTTATTATGAATGTTGAAAACAGTTGTGCTGCTTAATATTTGTGCGTGTAAAATTATTAAGAACAGTATTAATTTAAAATCGTTTTTTATAACATTATAAATATCTTTACTGTCACCTATATAGGGGCCAATATATGATTCGCTTAAGAGGCGAACATGATTCAAGTCTTAGTTATCGTTGTGATTTTTCCACTGATTTAGACAGAAGTGATTTCTCTTTTATTATGTATTTTATACTGCATGCCAAGATGTCTGGAGTAATGACATGTTTGTCCACAAGGAGGCAACAGATTTATAGTGCATAGACAGTCAAGAGGCAGCCCATTTGTTTCTTCTCAAAAGTATTTTATCTAATGTCTTTCACTTTTTTTTTTTTTTTTACTTATATCATGTTTTCATCTCTGTGATCAGGAGCAGTTGCCGGAGCTGAACGTTCATTTCCGTTCTCAGAGTTTCCATACATCTATGTATGCCTCATCCTGGTTTCTCACTCTGTTTCTCACCTTCCTACCCCTGCCAATAGCTACACGTATTTTTGACATCTTTATGTATGAGGTATGGACACGAGACTTTGTGTGTTACTGACTTAGCTGTATACTGTATGGACAAAATGTTCCCCGAAGTTGGCAACATCTGAAAAACTCGAAAGGAAAAATGGTTGTTGTAGGGTTGCACTGTGTCCTAATCAAACTGAAAGTCACTCAAAGTAAACATTTTAGTGTACTATAATAAAATTCTAAAGTAAAAAGGGTAAAGTCAATGGAAAGTCCCCACCATAATATATAAGCATTATCAAGTACATAATTTGTGTGTACTGTATGTGTTGCATGCAGTTTTCAGTTTTTTTTCGAAGGTGTGAATGCATCGAGGGTGTCGTAAGAACTTAAAAGGGGTCATATGATGCGATTTAAATTTTTCCTTTCTCTTTGGAGTGTTACAAGCTCTTGGTGCATAAAGAAGATCTGTAAAGTTGCAAAGACTAAAGTCTCAAATCCAAAGAGATATTCTTTATAAAAGTTAAGAGTCAGCCACGCCTACCTAAAACGGCTCATTCTAACACGCCCCCACATACCTACGTCACTATGTAGGAAGATTTGCATAACGCCGCCCAAATGTTCACGCAAAGAAAGAAGGCGTAACTTTTATTCTCGCTGTAGTATTGTTGCCGCCGCCGCCATGTCGTGAAGGCGCTGTGTGCTTCGTTGTGAAAGCGAAACTACTTTATTTGGCCTTCCAAAAGAGGACGATATCGCTTCGTCATGCCTGGAGCTGATCCATGCTGGTCGCTGAGGAAATACTTCAACTTTGCGCGGAGTCCAGCCCGGGGGCGCCACATGTGGTTGCCGCATGCATCACAATATGGCAAGGGGCGTAACATTTCCGTCACACGCTTGAGGAATTCGGCCAATCACAACGCACTGGATAGCTGACCAATCAGAGCACACCTAGCTTTTTTAGACCGATGAGCTTTGTAAAAAATCAACGCGTTTCAGAAAGGCGGTGCATAGAGGAGACACAATAATGTACAGTATGTGGAAAATAATGTGATTTTTTTTTTACCTTAAATCGCATAAACACATTTCATTACACCAAATACACAAAATAATGTTCTTTTTAGCAGCATCATATGACCCCTTTAATAGAGACATGAAAATACTAGGGCATGAGCATTTGTTGTAGTTGTTAAGTCTGCGATTTTATGAATACTGTGTGTTGTTTTCTCAGGGTTTGGAGATCATATTCCGAATTGGAATAGCGATATTGCAGTACAACCAGACAGACCTCATACAGCTAGACATGGAGGGAATGTCACAGGTCACAGGGAAAATCATCTCTGCTATGTACATCAATGTATTATACATGTAACAACATAAACAATGGCAATACTTAAACTGATGTTTGTTTAACAATCTCACCACAGCACTTTCAGAAGGTGATTCCGCATCAGTTTGATAGCTGCCCAGATAAACTGATCCTGCGGGCTTATCAAGTCAGATACAATCCCAAGAGAATGAAAAAGTGAGTGATCTGAAATTGTAAATTAGTGATCTGTGAGTAAAAATCAAAGGGAGATTCACAATAAATGAAAGAAAGTTTGGTTTTTGTCTAGATTCAGTTGTTGCCTTTTCATCCACAGGTTAGAAAAGGAGTATACCACTATCAAGAACAAAGAAATGGAGGAACAGATTGAAATTAAGGTCTGTATATGTGTATTTAGATGCAGTGGTACATATATTGTTTAAAACCTAGACTTGGTTCAGCTAATTTGGTGACTAACATGTCAATTTTGTTTGTCCGCACACAAATTACTTTTTTATCCAATGATATTTCGCTTGAGCTTCATTAAGGATTAAATTTTACTATACAAAAAATATAATTATGTACTTTTGTTGTTGTTAAATGCCCCATTTGGGTTTGATTTATACATAAATATTCTGTAAAGGTATTTCTTCAACATTTACTATATTTAATATTAAAGTATTCAACATTTTTGGTAAATAAAATGAAGCTTAAATAAAATAATATACGATTTTAAAGTAAAACAACTTTCTCTTTAGTCAATTTCTTTTTTATTTTAAATCATTTGCTTTTTAAATAAAAAATATTTTTCAAATATTTTTTTCTTTTCATTTTAACAGAGACTACGTACAGAAAATAGACTACTGAAGCAGAGGATTGAGACACTGGAAAAAGTGAGATGGTTTCTTCTAACCAATATGCATGAACCTAAAATAGCCCTGATTAGTTTGTGTTTGAGTAAACAGTGTAAATATCTTTATTATGTGAGTAATGTAAAATTTTAGATCATATAGATCTTTACACAGACTTAGCTTGCCTCCTTCCTGATGGTAACGTTTTTGAAGTCTCATCTCATCTTTTTCTCTGCCTTTCTCTGTTGAAATTACTTCCCCACAATTTTCACCACAAACACACTCAATCTGTAATACTCACTTTTGTTTTACACTTTTACAATTCTTCACCACTTGATTTTGTCCTAATGAAACTTTTACAAATATTCCCTTTTTCTTCTCTTCATGTGTGTCTGTGGTTTTCAACACCTTTTTTCCTTATCCATTGTTTTCTTCCTTTTTTCCTTTTTTTTCTGTCCATATTTTCAACCTTTTCTTTCTTTTCTCTGTGTCCTTTCTTTCCTTTTTTCCTCCTTTTTCTCTTGTGGTGTTGTAGGAGAGTGCTGCATTAGCAGACAGGTTGATTCAGGTACAGTACTGTCAAGCCAGCTGCTCACTAATCCCTCCTGCCTTTCCTCCTCTCTTTGCTCAATCATACGCTTCTTCTCTTCAATCTTCCATGATTCTTACTGTAATCCACTCTTTTTCCTGCCCCTGTGCTGCCTCCTCCACACAGTTCAGAGAATGGGCCTGTTGCATGAAAAGTGGTTATTTGTTTTTCTGTGTTTCTCATCACTCCCTTGACAGCTCATTTGTTTACATGGCTGTAACAATGTCTAAGAGACATTCCAAATGAAAGTTAACCCTGACACTCTCTACCGACAGTTTAGCCTTGCATGTGGGATGTGGAAGCATAGGTGTGCATCAGGGTTCTGTATTAGGTCCAATGGCATTTTCAAATTTTTTCATGTAATTCATCCAATTCCAAAATTCAGTGGGATTCTTTTGATTCTAGAATTGATCAGATTTCTTCTTTGGTTTTATGATGCAGAGGTATCATTGCATGTAACCCTTCTCATTTCTTTGATTAGAATGCCATACTGGTTGGAATGCCATACTTATCTCCCCTTAACTGCAAGTTAAGTGACAAATCTCCCAAGAAGAAACTTACTCCATTTCTCTTCTCTCAGGGTCAGGTGACTCGAGCCCAGGAGGCAGAGGAGAACTATGTTATTAAGCGTGAACTGGCTGTGGTTCGGCAGCAGTGTTACACAGCTAGTGAGGGTCTGGAAAAGGCACAGGACACCATTCGTGAACTTCAGCAACACAAGGTAACAGCAGATGAATAGCTACAAGTTGAATTTCAGTGCTGAGACTATTTTTGCTGCACTCAGCTGACCTCAGCAGGAAATATTGATAAAATGCTATGCAGACCTTTTTATTACATCTTTTTTTTAATATAGTTTTTTTTAAACTAGCTTAAATGACTGGAGTGAACTGCTCACCCATCATTTGAAAAAGATGTCTGCCATTGCATGTGGCAGAAAGCCCAAAAGACACACCAAGAGCACTTTCTGTTCAGCAAGTCTGATTGAATGTAGATGATTTAATCAGTTTACCTAATTTTACATTAACCATTTCATAATTTATGGCTGTTATTTAATGAAATAGTCAATGTAGTAACCAGTAAGCTCTGAAATACTGTCAGTGTGAAAGCAATGCAAAGCCAGCCTGTTCTCCCAGTTAGCTTTATCACTGCTTATGTGTGCAGTGTGAAACAGACACAACAATCACATCCCTTGAAGGTACCTACTGTTAAATTAAAAAGTAATAAAGCAGTTAATTATGAGGAAATATTCTCTCTTTTATGAAGTTGCAGTGTGAGATCATGCAGTTTACAAGAAAACTGAGCAAAGTCACATGTCATATAAACATGTTTTTATTTTTTGAACAATCATTATGTTCGCTGTACACATGGCTGCAAGCTGTTCTTAGTCAAAAGATCTGCTTTCGCATGGCAGAATTACCCTGAACTGGGTCACTGACAGGTCAGAGATTATTTTCTGGTAAGATTTATGAAAATGACTGTTTGCATCAAGTTGACTGTTTGAACCCATAATTAGAATTTAAATTCTTTAATCATCCTCAAAAGTTAAAAGAATGGATGCTAAAGCATTGATATATTTTGGAATTTTCGTTTTTTTGATTTTAGCAAATGGCTGCAATATAACAAAGAGTGAAAAATTTAAGGGGGTCTGAATACTTTCCGTACCCACTGTATATATAATGACCTATACAATTTCATTTTAAATTAAGCATTCAGTGACATGTCATAAGTAGAGTCTGGATCTCTGGCAGTGCTTGTTTTCTCTTGTGAAAGGTTCATTTCCACTGTGCTTTGCTAACTGGAATGGAAAGCGTTGGGTTTTTAGTTAAAAGTCCAGTCCTTCTGCTAACACTTTTCAGGTACACAAGAAGTAGAATGACCGAGAGTGTCTGTAATTGAAACATCTGAGTAATACGGGTATGATGAAGTGACTGGAAAGCATGGAGGGAGGTAAGAAAAACAGAAGTAAAAGTCCGTGGGAACTAGTGTTCACACAAGTCTCCAGGGCAGGCCACAGCCCCCTCTGGTAGGCCACAGTATATGCACATAGTACACAGCAGAAGCACAGTCACATCAACACTGCTGTTTCAGTGATCGATATCGCTAAAATTAACAAAATAAATTTCCAGAATCACATCTGTTGAGTAGGCACTTACAAAATGACTGGTTGATTTTCATACATAAACTTAAAATTCTTTGGAAATGCAAAAGAGGCTGAAATTGTTATTTTATGATGTAACGGTCTTGAGGCCTGCTTTGTTACAGTAATTGAATAGTTTAATTACGGTGTTACAGTAATTTTACTATGGTAAGGGCTGTTTTTAGGCACAATGTATCAATAAATTAATAAATTTTTTATGCTAACGATCATAATTCTTCCACAAAATAGAGTTCATTAGTCGATCTATATACTCTTAATGGTTACCAAGCAACATTGGCACAAAATATAGAATAGAGCGCAACAGGGACCACTTACTTCTCCAGGACTCTCAGCATTTCCCATTGATTTCCCATCCATAAATTAAACAAATCATCTGCGAGATGAACATTACAACAAGACTGTATACTTTAATGTCTTTTATTAGATGATGAACTACACTTCCCATTAAACCTCCCATGTTGCGAATGATGTGTTTGCCTGTGCAATATGAAACGATTGACTTCTGGTCATTAATTTTAAGTATAAAATGCATTTTACTTAAATTTATTGAGAAATATTCAAATATACAGTGGGGCAAAAAAGTATTTAGTCAGCCACCAATTGTGCAAGTTCTCCCACTTAAAAAGATGAGAGAGGCCTGTAATTTTCATCATAGGTATACCTCAACTATGAGAGACAAAATGAGGAAAATAAGGTTTTTGCCTCAGTGGTGATGATTAGATCAGTGGTGATGATACGGCTCATACGCCTTGTGCACATACAAATGATAAGTTAACCTATTATTTACAAATGACTAGTAGAAAACTATATTCTATCAAAGCTTTTACTAAATGATGCTGAAGTATAGTACTTAATGGAATATTGTCTGTGTGCTGTAGAGGAACAACTCTCTGCCTGATGAAATCAATGTAGCTCAGCTGCAGGATGAGCTGAAGCTGGTGAAACTAAGAGAGCAGGAGACTCTGCGCTCCTTCAGAGAGATGCAAGAGGCCGTTACTGATCTCAACCACTGCTGGCAGGTGCAGAATCTCTATACAACCCTACTGAACTCAAATGTTGTGGCATTCGTATAAAAAAGTGTGGATCAAAAATGGATCTAGAAAATTCCTTTATGCGGCAAGATACTTTGTTGGACCCTCTACTGGTCCACAAAACTAATTCTTTGCAAATGTCATTTTCTATCACAGCATCATACGTCTCGTGGAGGAGGAGGCCATTGGAAGGAGTCTCCTAAAAAGAATGCGTTGAATGAGCTACAGGACAAACTGATGAGTCTGAGACTGCGAGAGGCTCAGGGTCAAGCTGAACTCAAAGAGGTCAAACTTAAAATCCTGCAGCTAGAGAGCCAGGTTAGAACTACAATATCTGTATCAGTGTTATTTTTGTATCATTGATATACAATTACATTTTATATATAACCAATTTTTTTAAATATAGTATTTATTCATTTTTATTTATTCGTTTTAGTTTTGGTTATTTTAGTGCTTCAACTTCAAAATTGAGACTTGCCGACTAGCTGAAATATAAGTTTAAAAGCCACAGTCCTCTTGAAACAAATTAGTGTGTACTCTAACTTATCATGCATGCACACTTATTTGTACATAAAACTTCTATGTGAATATTTTCTAGGGGTGTTCTCGTAATTGTGTCTACGATGCATCGCGATGCGGACATGGACGATTCTGCATCGATGCAATAGACCATAATCGATTATAGCCTACTGATGTCATTCGCATACGCGTTTGTCACACTAGCTTAAAATGGTAGAGGGAAGCAAAACACGAGTATTAGATGCACTGACAGACTTTCATGTGCACTTTGTGTTTTTTGTCCTGAAGCTCACGGCTGCGGTTAAACGCACTTGCATCTCCGAATACTTTTATGATACGAAATTGATGTAAGCATAGTTATGTTTTCAGAACAGGGCAAAACATATGATATGTCGAAATAGATCTGTGCATTAGTGTGAATGCAGCATATTAATGCTGCCACTGTCTATGATGTCATCAGTAATAATTAGCAGTAGTGCTGAGGAAAAAAGAAAAACCTATAACTATGATTGTCTGTAAACATTCGGATACTGTAAACTTTCTCAGATACTAAGGATGTTCATTTTGGTTATTTTTCCTAACCGATGCTCGTTAACCGATTATTAACCGTTAACCGACAAGATTATTTTAAATTCCAATTTAATTAAATTAGAAAGGATACGTGTCTGTGACCAGTTAAAAAATACTAACATTTGTTTCCGGGGGATTAATTTTACATGCGCAAAAAGCAGCAAACAACAGAACATGAGGATTCATATGCATCATATCACATCACGCACCTGCAGTGCTTCTGCGAGTGGAGAAAAACATAATAAAGCTAGGCTATAGGCCTATATATAGAGAACGATAAATAGGCCTATACGAAAAATATATTTTTACTTCAATAATAAATTAAGAAAATGAAAGAAAAACTGTGCAACAAGTAGCCTAGTATGCAGAGATTGTTCATTTTTGTGCTGCGCGAAAGGAAGCCAGACGGCAGAAAGCGGCATCCTATTTTTCTTTAGGCTTATTTTACAAAAGCACAAAGATTTGTTTTTATTGTGAATGTACACAAATAAAGGCAAACCTTTTATAATTCCGATTATCTTTACGACTAAAAGGAGTAGTTTCTTCCACTGTTAGAAGGAAAAAATTTAAATGGGCGCCACATGCGCGCACACAGTTAAACATTGCTGCCTTGACAATAATGCAGCCTGTTCATTATCATAATAAAATACAGTCAGTCAAACATAGGGAAAAAACACACTGCTCAGTTTAAATATGTAGTAAAGTCTGTGCCGTTAAGCGTTATCACCATACCGCCGTGATGTTATGCAAACCATTTTGTTTCACGTGGATATTGGAATGCGAGTGAAGTAGGCTACGTAATAAATAATATTTTGGCATTCAAATACATCGCGAATACGGAAACATTTGATTTTGTGTCGAATGAGAGACGCAGCATTGGTTTCAGTTTCGTTTTAGCCTAAATTAATTAGTTTTGGCTTGTCGTTTAGCTATAGCTTCTTATATTTTAAATTCTTGTTCTTTTCTAAATACTGTTAATTGAAAGGATTTGTTGTGGAGTGAGGGGAACTAAAATAGCCTAGCTATGTTTACAGTGTTTATTATTAATGTTTGTAAACATTTCGTGTCGGCATTAGGCCTATTTCTGGATGAAATAATAAAATGCGACTTAAGGTTTTTTTTTTTTTTTATCTAAAAAAAAAAAGCAATTTTTTAATACGCGTAGCGTATTTCAACCATACAGCAAACCTTTTTAAATATTTTGATTTAAAAAAAAAAAAAACCTTTTAAACCGGTTAACTGATTGAATTAATCGGTCAAAATTCTTCACGGTCGGTTAACGGTTAAAATGAACATCCCTATCAGAGACTGAAAGTACTTTTTGTTTATCACTTAAAATGGTCTTTTTCCCCCTTTATTACTTTATATTTGCTTGTATGTTTTGAAGCTATATTTAGTTGGTTAAATTCTTAACAATTGTTTTGATTTATTAATAATTTGTAATTGTTTTAAAAATTAGCCTGCTTATATAATTTAATATAAATGCAAAAAAAATAAAAATTGGTATAAAATGAATATGAAAATGTGGCCATGTGCCTTAATATTGAAAATTGAGGATGTGACGAATCGTGATGCAACGTGATATCGAATTGAATTGAATCGTTGGCATGATAATCGCAATCGAATCGTGAAACCAGTGACGATTCGCACCCCTAATATTTTGACGCATAAATCATGATGCATTAGTAAGTTTGCCCTTAAGTTTGTTTGTTGTTTTCCTCAAAATGTAAGATAAAGTTTGGCAACCAAACAACTTCACCTTCTCACATGTTTCTCTCCGTTTCCACAGAACCAGATCAACTGTAAACTAGTTATCAGACATGAGCAAGAGAGCGCTGGCCTGCAGGAGAGACTGCAGAATGCTCTTTCCCACAACAAAACACTACAAAGCCAACTCAACGAAATGAAAAGAAAGATGGCCGAGTCTGACTGCAAGGTGCAGTGCATTCACAGTCATACAATACAGGAAGAACAGATAACTGAATATTCAGTGAGATAAACAGTAAATGGGATGTGTCATATACTGTATCAATACCATATCGGTTATTGGCTAACATGAGACATTACAGGAAAATACTGTTTCATTTTTTTTTTCAGTGTGGATTTTCAATTTAATAAGAAAATCCCATACATTAAAAAATAAACATCCATGTTTTCATACTGTACTTTATATTGCTGTGATGCCTAAATTCATTTGTAGCATTTAAAATGATTGACCTTAGTTTTTCATGCTTTACATTTAGTTTATTTAGACAAAATAGTGTAAAATGTTTAATATATGCCATTTATCTTTCATCAGACATCGGACATAGACAAATAATTATCACCTTATCGGTATTAGGCAGAATTTTAATATCAGTGCATCCCTAATTAAAAGACATAGTAAGACTACAACCGAATTTGGGTTTATAGATTAATGCATGAATTAGAATGTTGAATTTTTTTAGAAATACTTTTGAATTCTAAAAGTAATTTTGCTACCTTTCTTTCAGAGCAAAGAAGAGGTGATGGCAGTCCGTCTAAGAGAAGCTGACAGCATGGCCTCTATGGCTGAACTCCGGCAAAAGATAGCCGAGCTAGAAATACAGGTGAGAAATATCATCCATATCTATTCACCAAGTTCATAAAAGTTCTGTCAACCATTATATTAGCATTGTATTGTTATATTACCCTATTATATTAGCACGAAAAAGCAAAACGAATATCGGACGCGATGACGCGCTGGAATAAAACAATAGATTTCTATGGATGCTTCCACATAGACCGCGAACATTCGCGCATCGAAAATGCGAATGTTTTTTTTTCGCACCAGTCCGACGAATCTTTTCAGTTTCGCAAAGCGAAAACACGGGCCATCCAATAAGATTTGAGCTAGGATCACGTGACCGGAGCAGCTG